TGGCGTTTCGCCTGAGCTTCCCTCACCGTTGACGCATCAAAGCCATCCGTCGTGAACGTTGCAGCAATGACATGGGTGGAGAGCGGCATGGTTTTACAATGTAGCTCTCGTCCTGGTTGTACTCGACTCTCCGCAGACCCCACTTCACCCATGCATGGCCTGTGGACAGAACGCCTGGTAAAACCTGAGGATGTACATGCTCAGGATCGGAGGGAAGGGCCTTTGCTACTCTGTAGATGGCAGGTGGCCGCAGACCTTCATGCAGCATGACATGATGCCGCGGCAGAGCAAGACGATGAGCCTGACAAAGACATTCTACAAGGGCATCCGCGGTACACTTCAGAGGCGACCCGATCGAGAATATTACTGCCCCCACTCTATTCCCCTCCTTCGCCTTCCCCTGGTCCTCCTGCTCCTCCTACGCCCTCTGGTTCCTCCAATGTTCAAAGCCCCCCCCCCCCCTGCCTGATTGCGCACTACACGATCGGGTAAGTTTGAGGATCAAGGTCTTCTAGGATATCCAGGTCGGCGGATATAAAAAAACAGAAAACTCAGCAGCTCGATACTCGCGCTTCAATCCTGGACCCCAGTTCCCAAGGCCCTCGATCCTTCGGTCCGCGACCCTGGATCACCCTTCCTCAAGCCTGGACCCATAGTTCCCTCAATCCCGCCCTTCGTTCCCCATTTCCCAATTGGTTGCCCCGTTTCCCCTCGATCCCTCGACCCCAGGAACCCAGGACCCCCGACCCCTCGACCCCTCGACCCTTCGTTCCCCCTTCGCCCTCGTGAAGACTTGGGCGCCCGAGTTATCCGGGTTAACTCGGGTCCGGGGTAACTCGGGTTTGGATTCCCGAAAAAGGAACCCGAGTTAGCCCTGACCCGAGTTACCCCTAATGATGTGGGGTTCTGGACGCCCGAATTATCCGGGGTAACTCGGGTCCCGGGTAAGTCGGGTTCGGATTCCCGAAAAACGAACCCGAGTTAACCCTGACCCGAGTTACCACTGATGATTCGGGGCTCTGAAAGACGACGCCAGGGCAGAGACGCGATCGGAGAGGGACAAAAACGGTGGCCTCCAAGATCTGGGGGTTCTTTACCAGCCTCGAACGTATCCCGATTCCCAAGATTGACCAAAGGGCGATGACAATCTTAGGGATCCGCCCTCAAAAAATGAGGGAATCCCTGAGACTGGCATCGTGATGAGGAGGTGCCCAGCGTAGGGATAGGGGTACACCCTGCGAAATGCTTAAGAAATCATGGGTTAAGAAATTCATAGTCTCAGAACTTGAATAAAAACCCAACATGTCTATTCAAATCTTAGGGTTTACATCGAAACGTTGAGAATAATCGAGACTCTGGCCGAAAATTTAAGTTTTCTTAAGCATCGCCTAAGGGGTATGTTCCAGGCTGGTAAAAGCTCCAAGACCTGAGGGTTCTGAAGGATGCGTCGGGCGCCGCAGCTGCTCACTGCCTCTCGGTCCACGCACGCCTGCCCTGGGCATGCCAACAGAGGTCGCGGTGAACGGAGAAGGTCGCTGTCGCGTGACGTCGCTGGACTGCAGCAGCCGGAGGGGGGATGACAGAAAGCCTCTGAAGGGGGGAGGGAGAGATAGAGGGAAGAAACCAACCACAAGCAGGAAAGAACGCTCCGAGAATGGAATGGAATGGAATGGACTGGAATGGACTGGAACGGAATGGAAATCTGCGGGCCAACTCTGGTAACCACAACGGTCCCTCAGAAGGCAGACCGTGCGCCGAGCACGTCGGAAAACACATGGAAGCACCGAGCACGCGCGGGAAAATGCGGACAGTGTCACATCATCTGCGAAACGCGCCGCCGACCACGCTTTGAGAGGGTTGCCGAAGGCCCTGCAGCGACCTGCCCGGGTCCGTCCCCTGCCCGACCTCGAGCCCTCGCCCCTCGTCCCTGCAGGGCCCGGCGTGGCTACGGGCAAGCATGAGTACGATGCCAAGCAGCATGTGCGTTCCAAATCAGGGCTCCTCCGACGCGGTGCTGTCCGTGGCTCCGTGTTCCCTAATTCTGTCTCCGCCCCGCCTTTGCTGCAAAGCGACTTCGGAACGAAGACAATCTACAAAATCCCCCGCCGAATCCCGTCTAACGGTCGAGCCCTGGTCCAGAACCGACAGCGGACCTCCTGGTGGTTCGAAAAAGGCAAAGGCTGCTATGAATCTTAGCCCCCAATCCTTTCCGCACCCGCCACGATCTGCTACTACTACTACTACTACTACTACTACTACTACTACTACTGCTGCTGCTGCTACTACTACTACTACTACTACTACTACTACTACTACTACTACTACTACTACTACTACTACTACTACTACTACTACTACTACTACTACTACTACTACTACTACTACTACTACTACTACTACTACTACTACTACTACTACTACTACTACTACTACTACTACTACTACTACTACTACTAACTACTAACTACTACTAACACTACTACTACTACTACTACTACTACTACTACTACTAGTACTACTACTACTACTACTACTACGACTACTATTCTACTACTACTACTACTACTACTACTACTACTCACTTACTACTACTACTACTAACACTAACTATACTATATACTATACTATATACTACTACTACTACTAGTACTAGTACTACTACTACTACTACTACTACTACTACTACTACTACTACTACTACTACTACTACTACTACTACTACTACTTCTACTACTGCTACCACTACTACTACCACTACTGCTACTGCTACTACCACTACTACTACTGCTACTACTACTGCCACTACCACTACCACAGCTAGTTCCGCCTGGCCTCGGCCCCTCGCCCCATCGCCTGCCGACGCTGGTCGGCGACTCCGGCAAGTGTGGCTTGCAACGGTTGTGGCTTGCGACCGGCACCTTCGGGGGCACCCTGTGGGGCGGGCGGGGACCTCGATAGAGTTGTGGATGCCATGACAATGGACACTCTGGCAATCCAATCAGTGAATTAAACATGGGATTGAAATGTGCAAACCATGTTCTAAACATGTTTTAAACATGTTTTTACATATTTGAAGCATGTTTGAAACATGTTGTAGACATCTGGGAACTATTTGGCAGCATGCCTCCTCTCCATGTATCGACTTCCGAAAACGATGGAAGTCTCCGCCGCGCTCCGAGGAGGCGGGCAAGACTTCTTATGTCCGTGTCCACTGCAACTCGAACTTTCGGGCTGCCTCCTCCAGAAACCCGGGGCGCACTGGGCATGGATAAGAACTCGGCCCCCAAAGGTTCGATGCTCATCCGTGTCCAGTGCGCCTCGGCCCCGTGGCGCCTCTTGCCAGAAAGTCCAAGGCGCACTGGATACGGATGCTTATCTTGCCCGCAGGGGAGGCCCGACGAGGGTCATGTTGCTCCCATGTTAAGGACCACACCCCAAACATAATTTCGAGCACCAGGAAAAGTGTCGAAAGAGTGTCGAAAGCGTGTCGAAACAGTGTCGGGCGAGTGTTTCCCAGGGCCCAACACGTGAAACCCCTGGAGCTTTTGGATACTTTTTCTGGTGCTCGGAATTCCTTCTGGTGATCAATGCTGTAGTAGGATGCAACATCATAAGACGCGGGCAGCGTCGTGCCCCTCAGGGCACCAACGGTGCCGATTGGACAAACCAAACCCCGGCGGAACCACACCCCTGGGCATCGCTCGGACGTCCATTCCCTGTGTTTTTGGTCGGTTTGGTGCGTGGCTTTCTCGCCAAATCATCAAGGATGCTCCAGAGGCCCCAGAGGCGCCGAGGAAACCCCAATGCCAATTCAGCACTGCCTCCGCACACGGCTGCCTGCGCCGGCCCTCGGCACCGTATCCGATAACACGTGGCTACAACGCCGAAGAATGGATGTCCCCATGCGACCACCGTGCCCAGACATGCAGCGGACTCCGCGCGGGAGTCCTTTTTGGGGTCGGCGGCAGAGGCAGCAGCCTTATAAAAAATCTCCGCCGAGAAAAAGTGCACACGTCCGAACGATACCAAAACCCCTTGCTTTGGACGCCCGAAATGGGCACGGAAAGAATGGGTACGATGCCCAACAACAAATGTTGTCCAAAACCAACAGCGGCCGCTGTTGGGCAGGCGGCATTCTGTCTCGAATGCAGGCCGCGGCGGCGCGGACAGCGAGCCCGGTTCAAAATGAACAGGATCCGCTGTTGGGCATTGTGCCCAGTCTTTCCGTGCACATTTCGTTCGTGCAGAACCCCTCGCAGCCTGGGCGCTGGTGCTGGCCATCGCTCGGACGTCCATTCCCTGTGCTTTTTCCGGTTTCGTCCGTGGTTGTTTTCGCAGGATGATCCAGGATGCTCCTTCATACTCCCCGCTGGGCATTGTGCCCATTCTTCCCGTGCCCATTTCGTTCGTGCAGAAAGAACAAGTGCACACGTCCGAGCGATACCGAGGAGGAGCAGGAGCAGGAGCAGGAGGAAGAGGAGCAGGAGGAGGAGGAGGAGGAGCAGGAGGAGGAGCAGGAGCAGGAGGAGGAGCAGGAGCAGGAGGAGGAGCAGGAGGAGGAGGAGGAGCAGGAGGAGCAGGAGGAGCAGGAGGTGCAGGAGGAGCAGGAGGAGCAGGAGGAGGAGGAGCAGGAGGAGGAGGAGCAGGAGCAGGAGCAGGAGGAGGAGGAGGAGGAGGAGGAGGAGCAGGAGCAGGAGGAGGAGCAGGAAGAGGAGCAGGAGCAGACCCCTTGCGGCCGCCGAGCCGGATGATCCAGAATGCTCCTTCATACTCCCCGCCGGGCATTGTGCCCATTCTTCCCGTGCCCATTTCGGTCGTGCAGAGAGAAAAAGTGCACACGTCCGAGCGATACCGAGGAGGAGCAGGAGGAGGAGGAGGAGGAGGAGGAGGAGGAGGAGGAGGAGGAGCAGGAGCAGGAGGAGGAGCAGGAGCAGGAGCAGGAAGAGGAGCAGGAACAGACCCCTTGCGGCCGCCGAGCCGGGCCCGCCCGGCGGCCCCGCCTGCGCCGGCCTCCTCGGCCGCCGCCGCGGGCGCCCAGGGCCCGGGCGCGGGGGCGCCGGCCTCGCGGCCTGGGCGCTGGGCTGGCCCTCCTCCTCCTCCTGCTGCTCCTCCTCCTCCTGCTTCTCCTCCTCCTGCTCCTCCCCCTCCTCCTTTCCCTCCTGCTCCTGCTCCTCCTCCTGCCCCTCCTGCTTCCTCCTCCTCCACCTCCACTCCTGCTCTGCTCCTGCTGCTCCTCCCTCCTCCTCCTGCTTCCTCCTCCTCCTCCTCCTCCTCCTCCTCCTCCTCCTCCTCCTCCTCCTCCTCCTCCTCCTCCTCCTCCTCCTCCTCCTCCTCCTCCTCCTCCTCCTCCTCCTCCTCCTCCTCCTCCTCCTCCTCCTCCTCATCGCTCGGACGTCCACTCCCTGTGTTTTTGTTCGGTTTCGTGCGTGGCCTTTTCGCAGGACGATTCAGGATGCTCCTTAATAATCCCCGCCGAGAAAGAGTGCACACGTCCGAACGATACCAAGTGGGTGATCGGCATTCCTCGCGGCTCGCGGGCGCCGCCGCCGTTGTCGGCGTGGTCCTCGGTCATCGGCGTCGTCGGTCGTCGTCGCTGGCGTCGGTCAAGTCGTCGGCGTCGCCGTCGGTCGTCGTCGTCGTCTGCCTCGGTCGTCACCGTCATCGTCGTTGTCGTCGTCATCGGCGTCGTAGGCGTGGCCGTCGGTGACGTTGCTGTCTGCATGGTCGCGGTGGCCGTCGTCGTGTTTCGTCGTCGTGGTCGTTGGCGTCGCCGGCGTCGCCGGCGTCGACTTCGCCAGCGTCGTTGTCGTTGTCGTCGTCTTTTGCGCCGTCGGCGTCGGCTGAGAAGTAGGGAAAAAAGGAGAGGGGGGAGGATGGAGAGAAGGATGAAGACGGGGGCTTGAGGGGGCGAAGGGCGGGAGGGGCTACGGGTCTGAGTCTTGCCTAGGGAGGATGGAGAGAAGGATGAAGACGGGGGCTTGAGGGGGCGAAGGGCGGGAGGGGCTACGGGTCTGGGTCTTGCCTAGCTGGCAGATTGGGGTTGTGGAGGGACAAGCATTGACGAAGATGCCAGGTCTACGAGCGGGCGGACACCCATCAGACAATCCTTCGCGGTGTAAGGACTTTGCTGCACGATCTGTCGTCCAGAAGCAAATGCGACAAGATCGTCATGGCAGTCTTGAATCAACTGCATGCTTCTGCGTTTTTTTCTGGCGCCTCCTGGCGCCTGAGAGGGCCCGTTTGTGGCGGACGAATAGGGGGAACAGCATGTGGGGGGTTATCGAATCAGCTGCGTGCAGCTGATCAGAAAGAATCCTTGTCCTGATCCCGACGATCCCGATCCTGATCCTCCTCGGTGCCCAAGCTGGTGACCGAAGTGGTACTCTAGCTGGTACCCCACGGATGGGGGAGAAGAGTGAGATGGAAGAGGGAGGGGAGAACAAGAAGCAGGAGGAGGCGGGGGCGACGAGGGTACGGGATGGGCAAGGACCAGGGAATCCATAAAACGGGTGGGCCACAGGGTTTTGTAAGGACATAGGCATGTGTTCAACAGGGCGGTACTGTACAACGGGAGGGGGGGGGCAGGGATCGAGGAGTTATGGGGGGAGAAAGAGAGTGAGAGAGAGAGAGGGAAAGAGAAAGAGAGAGAGAGAGAGAGAAAGAGAGAGAAAAAGAGAGAGAATACATACGGGGCGGCCAGGGGTAGAAGGGAAGGGCCCGCTCCCTCCTCCACGCCACCCGCCTCTGCCCCCCCGTATCTGTCCCCATCTGATTGTTCGACCCGTGACCATCCGCACATCCTACCCCCTTTTTTCACTCCCAACGCCCCTCACCCTGCTCCCCCCTCCACTGTTGATGCTGACCTCCTCCTCCCTAATTAATCCCCCAGCCCGTCTGTACCCTCTCGGACCACACAACCGACAAGGACGCCCCCTGCCCGCGGAGGTCTGAAGGGGCTTTGAGATCGCTTGCGTGGAAAACTGGCCTTGGTGTGGACGCCTTGCTTCCACGACCATACCCCCGACTCCCCGACGAGGCCATGGCAGTGCTGCTCTACATCCTCTGGGCCAGTGGGGCATGGGGCAAGCGGCCGTCCAGCATCATGGCGGATCGCGCGATCCCCCCCGCGAAGCCCCAGGGGCGCTTCAGGCCGATCGCCGTCACCCCCTCCGTGCGCAGGGCGCCCGCGAAAGTCAAGATCGTGCATCTCGGGTGGGCGGCAGCCCGTACTCGGCCATTCCGCACTGGGCACGGGGCGTTCCACCGTCGACGTGGGCACGCACACTATTGGTCGACGCAGAGGCTGCGGACTCCCAAGCGGGAGACGCCAACATCACGACCCTGGTGGACGTTAGCAAACGTTTCCAAACCAGGGCGTGCGGGCCATGTATGCAACTCCAAGACGTATCTGGTGGAGTGAAACCTACCCTATGCGATACACACCATGCGCGATGTGATCCTAGGCTGCTCGACAGCGATGTACCTCTTGCAGGTCGTCGTAATGGTGCCGTTCGACGTTTACTTCGCCTCGGTACCGAGCAAACCGCACACGCTGGACATATACGAAAAATACATAATCCTGCAAGTCACGATGGACATGAAGGACATATCTGAAGTGTTTCGTTCGGCGATAGGTCGACTTGCCGTGGTTATTCAAGCGATGGAGCTTCCGATCGCGACCGACGCGGCGAAATCCCTGAACTCATCGGAGCAGGTCGCGGAGCAGGTGGCTGCGTGATTGCTCAGGCACGGATTCGCCGCGGTGAACCAGCTTAATTCGCGCGCTGGGCTCCGAATGCATGGCCGGAGCCCGACCGACGCATGCGGCTATCCATGAGCGGGCGCGCAAGGCCCAGGGTTGTGGATGCCATGACAGTGGGCAGTCCACCACTCCTATCATTGCAGATAAATGCGTTTGAACAACAAGCGTGTTGTACAACAGTGTGTGTGGGGGGGTTAACAACTGTTTTTCAAAGACAAGTGTGTTCTAGACACCTGAATATAATTTGACGACATGCCCCCTCTCCGTGGATCGACCTCCGCACATCCAAAGGAGACCCCCCCGCTTCCCGAACCTGCGCGGCCAGGCCAGGGTGGCCAAAGCAGGATCGCTGGGCCATGTCTGTGGCACCCGGCTCGGCGTGCGGGCTGCGTGTGATGAGGGCCACACCTTCGACCCGGGCATAGCTAACGATGACAACCGTGGCGCGCGCACGGGCAGGAGCAAAAGGGTACCTGCAGCACCATCGTAAGACGAAGCCAGGACGAGGATCAAATCGGGCGAGGATCAACAGAGAATCTCTGAGGTCCAGCGGCCCGTAAGGATGTCTCGGGCACCGCGGCGTTCGCAGAGCGTTCCGGAACGCGCTGGTAGCATCCCAGAACGCTGTGGAACGGATTCATTATCATCCTGGCCTCGTCCGACATCGACATGGTTGGCGTCGCTGCTGGAGAACGCCCCGCACAAGATGCCAGCCAACATGCTTGGCGACGGCGGCGCCGATCTACACGTGGGCCCACATGGCCTTCGAGCAGGAGGTCCCATTTGCGCATCTCGGAGCAGGCATGTCGGCGGCAGTCACCAGTTTTTCTTTCGACAGCGCCGTGGGGCAAGGTCGCGGGACCAGCTGAGGCAATCCTTCCAAACGCATGTCGAGCAGGCAGGCGGGCTCACTCGGCGACGCGCTGGGAGACGGGGAACGCCAACACCTTGGACTCGACGGCTAATGCAACTTCATGGATGTGCACGGTGAGGAGGCCCAGGCCAATGCGCGTCGAAGGGACCCCCCCAAGAGAAACGCCGGGAGTGGCACAACGCTCGCACAGCCGCAGCCCCGCCGCGGGACAGCCCTCCCGAAGAGAGAGAGGACCCCGAAGACCGCAGCCTCGCGGAGAAGGGCAGTGGCGCAGCGGCGGTGCAGCGTCGAGGCAGCTGGAGAAAAGGACAAGGGGCCTGGATCGAGGGGGGACGGTTGGAGGGAAAAGGGGCCGGGATCGAAGGGGGCCAGGATGGAAGGGGGCCGGGATCGAGTGGGTGCCACCGTGCACTGCACGGTGGCACGCAGAAGAAGCTGCGGTCCCAGGAAGTGAGAAGATGTGTGCTGCCAAGACAGCACATGCACCTGAACTGCAACCTGCTCCGCGGGATCCACCAGGCTACGGGATTGAGCCGATCACTACCATGCTCCAGGCCTCCCCGGAGACAGCCAAGTGGAACCTGAAGCCGGGTGCGAGAGGGGCACCAGGATCCACAGCAATTGGAGCGAACTGGTCACAGCAACGCCCGTTCACCGTGGGATAAGTGAACTCGCCGTACGCACTGCCTCTGCTGTCCTGCGCAGTGTGGACACCTTCGCCAGCGACTCTGGCCGAATCCAAGCTTGAAGGACATGCGAGCGGAAAACGTGTCGACTTGGATCTGCGCCGACGGGCACATCGCGTGCCTCCCAACCTCCCAACCTCCTCCTCCTCCTCCTCCTCCTCCTCCTCCTCCTCCTCCTCCCTCCTCCCCCTCCTCCTCCTCCCCCTCCTCCTCCTCCTCGTCACTCCTCACTCCTCACTCCTCACTCCTCACTCCTCCTCCTCCTCCTCCTCCTCCTCCTCCTCCTCCTCCTCCTCCTCCTCCACCCGCGACCCGATGCCGAGGGCCTTGCCTGCGGTGCCGCCGCCCGTGGATACACAACGCTGGCCACAGGGGCACGGGGGTCCGACCGCGACGCTGAAACTTGCGAATCGACGCTAATCGGCGCCAGTCGACGCTGGTCGAGGCTAAATCGGTACCATCTCATCAAAGTGCCAGGCGCTCATCGACGATACCGCAATCCAAGACGGACTCGCGAGGGTTACACGAGGCCCCCATGACTCGTCACGGACAGACCCACGACAGGAGGAGCATCCTTCAAGAGCGTGAGACCCCCCGCTGGCCAAACTGAAATAGCTTCGAGGGTACCCTCCTGCAGAATACACCAGAACTTTCAACAATAGAGCACCCTCCCCGAAACGACCTCGATCTTATCAAAGCCCTTGCAAACGGGGCGTTAGTAAACGGGGCCAGTAGCCAAGGGCGCTTTCAATGGTGTTCTCAAAAACAAGCTGATTTGCCGCGCACATGTGGGAGGTACCCCCCCCGCCCAGAGCTATGATGATGCATCGACGTTTTTGCCGTCCCGATGTGTCACGCACTGCTGCGAGGTCAATGCCCCGCCGCCCCGTTCTCGCTCGACGAGGCCCCTTCGCTACCGCCCCGCTTACTCACGCCCCGATTGCAGGGGCTTGGCTCATACTCCAGTCCGGCCGCTGTGGACGAAGGGCGACGCGAGACGGCGCCGACGGGCACCGCAGAGTGTCGGGCCGGGCGAAAGGGGGGGATATAGCAAAGGCTGGGTTCGAGAATCAGCTCACGTATAGCTGATTTCCAAGGCTCCTCCCGGCGCTGGGCGGCGCCCGAGTATCGAGGAGTGTGGGCCCGGCGGCGGGGCCGAAACCAGCGGCATGCACCAGATTTCGTAACCCCCCTTTTCCAATTTCCGGGGATGGACAGACCCCCCTTTAGTAAAACGTGGTTTAGTGAAAACGACCTCGGGCCCAAAACTGGCGGGCGCAAGCCCGGAAAATCACGGCCGCGGCGCCCTCTCGAGAGCCGAAAACGGACAATTCACTCATCGACGTGTCACTGTCGGGGGTTCTGTCCACCCCCGATCCCCAGAAGCCCCCGAGAGGCACCCGAGAGGCTACCGGAGAGGCCCACGTGGAGGCCTCTCCGAGGCCCCCCCACGGGGGGCTCCCAGAGAGCACCCCAGGAGGCCCCCAGGACTCCTGGGGGCCTCCTGGGGTGCTCTCTGGGAGCCCCTTCCCATGGAAACCCCCCTTTCCCCTTGCCCCATGGAAGCCCCCCTCCTGGGCCCGAGAGATCAACCCCCTTTGCCATGGAAACCCCCCCTTTCAGTCTGGCCCGAGAGTGCGCCGCCGCCGCTCGCGTGCACGACCGCGCCCTCTGCGCCGGCGGCGGCCTGCGCTCCCTCGCGCCGCGGCGGCCGACCGGGCGCCGGCGCGCTCGCCCGCGGGCCTCGCGCGGCGGGCGCCGACGACGAGGAGCAGAGGCGGCGACGTCGACGGCGGCGGCACGGACGGAGGACGGCACGCCTCCCTCCTCCTCTTCCTCCTCCCGCCTCCCTTCTCCCTCCTCCCTTCTCCCTCCTCCCTTCTCCCTTCTCCCTCCTCCTCCCTCCTCCTCCCTCCTCCTCCCTCCTTCCTTCTCCCTCCTCCCTCTAGAGGCCTCCTGGATGGGGTCGGAGTAGATGGGGTCGGAGGACCGCGCCGCATCGCCGATACCTCGGCGATACGTCGGCGATGCATCGGCGACGCATCGCCGACGCACCGGCGATGAGGCGTCGACGTCGGCGATGTATCGGCGACGTCGGCGTGGAGAGAATCTGGCTGCGCATCGAGCCGCATCGTCGATGCATCGGCGATGCGGCGCGATCCTCCGACCCCGTCTACTCCGACGCCATCTAGGAGGCCAAGACAAGCAGGGCTCGAGAAGCGCGGCGTTTCTGTTCGGTCTCGTGCTGTCTTCGGCCTCGCCTTCGTGCTGCCTCCGCTCCGCCCCTGCTGCAGAACGAGCTCCAGCCGAGAGCGGCCCACGAGATCGCAGATGGCAAGGCAGGACCCAGACCCGCTTTCGCTGTGAAGATGAACCACGGCGGGGGATGCCCTGCCATCTTTCGGGAATGGACAGACCCCCCTTTAGTAAAACGTGGTTTAGTGAAAAAAACGACCTGAGGCCCAAACCTGGCGGGCGCAGGCCTGGAAAATCACGGCCGCGGCGCCCCCTCGAGAGCCGAAAACGGACAATTCACTGATCGACGTGTCACTGTTGGGGGCTCTGTCCACCCCCGATCCCCAGAAGCCCCCGAGAGGCACCCGAGAGGCTACCGGAGAGGCCCACGTGGAGGCCTCTCCGAGGCCCCCCAAGGGGGGCTCCCAGAGAGCACCCCAGGAGGCCTCCAGGAGGGCCCCCAGGGGGGCCCTCACCGGGCTCCGGGGCCGTCCAAGAAGCGACTCGGGGTGAGCAGCGGGTCCCGGGCGGGGCAGGGGTCCGGTCCTCTGGGGGTCGACGCCGCGAGGAGAACACGACGTCGGCGGGCCGGGTTCCTGGAGTGGGCGCGCCTCCCGATGCCCTGGGCCGCCCTCCTCCAGCCGCAGCACCTTCTGCCTCCTCCGCCACAAGCCCTCCTCCATCATGGCGTGACCTCCCGATGACATCGAGGAGGAGGAGGAGGAGGAGGAGGAGGAGGATGACGACGAGGACGAGGACGAGGACGAGGACGAGGACGAGGATGAAGACGGCGACGACGACGACGACGACGACGACGACGACGACGACGACGACGACGACGACGACGACGACGACGACGACGACGACGGGGGAGGGACGGAGCTGGGAGGAGGAGCAGGAGAATGAGAAGAGTCAGGGGGGATCACGAAAATAAAAAGACTGC